TCAAGTAAACGTTTATCATGTATACCTAAAGAATCCTGTAGCAAACTGGTTGGTCTACATATGTACGCAATAAACATAACACATAAATTTAAACAATAATTTTCGATATCCAAAAATGAAGCATGCACTTGTGATATAATGGATTAGCGATGAAGTAGTATCAACAAAGATCTTATGAGAATATATAGATACGAACGAGTATCGATTCGAAACGATCCCGCTATTCAGACTTCGAAATCGATAATGCCATAGCATTCGTTCTGCCCGCGGCGAGAGGCAGGAGTATCACAATTTTTCAAGTTGAATCGTCGGGATGGGTTCTCCGGGTTGAAAGGGATTCGTTGGATCGTGGGTGGCAGGGCGATTTACATAAAATCGTGGTCCTCGAGTCACGGCTGACGCGTGGGCGGCCCCGTCGAATACTCGAATTTGATCGGGAAGAGAATGTGTCCCGGCTGACTACCGAGCAGTTCCAGGATGGGCATCTAGGAGTGTCCATCCAGATGCCAGACGTTTCAGGAACAATCGGTCGATAAACGTCGATCGGCCGATTCGGCACGCTTTATTTCCCAATGCGCGCGATCCAGCGATCGTTTCGATTTTCTTTCGCCACGGTACCCCCCCCCCCCCCCCCCCCCCCAATAATTCTTGGCCGTGCACGCTCCTTCGATCCGGAGGTCAACGCACCGTCGCTCGTCGTTGTCGGAACGAACGCGCCCCGAATACTTCCCGCTCGAAGACGATAGCGACTCTAATTTAATTTGCTCTTATCGTGGCCCGCCCTATGGCTCTCCTCGTCGCTCTCGGGGAATCGCGTTACCCGACAGGCTGTCCCCTGCCGGCTGTGTCGCGTCGCTCGATTTCCGAAACGACTCTTTTAAGGGCGCGGGCACGCAATATGTGCGGCGCTTGCTACGAAACCGTGACTCATTTTCCGACTGTAAATCTCGGGTAACCGGGAAAAATTTGTGAAAGGAACGGGCGTACTTATCTCGTCGTTTTCTAACCGGGACGAGACCGAAGACCTCTTGGTAAACTCTACAGGGTTGTTTGGTTATCCATTTTTCGAAATATCCGAAACTGTCGTTATTTCGTTTACTTGTTCTGTTTCATACGCATGTCAAATGGAATGGAGGAATGAAGGAATGGAGGAAGAATGGAAACAGACTAGGGTTAGACTTCTCGTTTTCCCGGCTCTCCATGCTCGGTGAAAGAAATATGTCAGCCGGTCTGACGAAACAAGAGGAGGAACATTGTCGTATTGCCACCCCTTTTGTTTCTTTCCGGCGAATAATCACGAATACCGTGAAAAACCGGGAAGCAATTGCTACCACGCCACCCACGGCTTTCCTCGTGTCTCGATGCGTTTTTCCTCCTCTGAAACGGGATTAATGCCAGTCTTCGAGCCTCGAATTCACCTCCGTTTCGATAATTACTCCGTGTATTCTTTCTACCCTCGTCTTTTTATCTCGATATCTTTCACCTCCACGTTTCACGAGATAAACTGGTTTAAATATAATACACGCAATAAAACACTTGGCGTCGGAAATAAATTTATAGCTTTCTGTGCTTAAAAATTAACGTTTATCTCTTTAGATTTGCATAAACATCCACTGACTACAGCTCACAAATCTTGAGGTAGAACTTTGTACCTACAGTTGTTTTATCCACGGGAGTCGTTTGTGCTTAAACATACCTTTTAATAATTTTTCATTTACCTATAGGACCTCTCGTTGACTCGTGTCGAAGAAATTGTTATAGCGCAGGTAACATCATATTCGAGTTTGTTGCAGCTTAAAGTCGGTGAGATTATTTTTATTCGTCTTTATCTGTGCTTCCATCCGACACCCGAAAGTTTCCCTCTTGTCCCGTTCACTACGCATTCAATCGTCACCTGTGTTCAGACAGACAATTCCTCCTTTACGCATTGTCGAGCCTCCTACAATGGCATCGTCGTCATCGCCGCCGTATCATGATACATGCGTTCCTCATCGTCTCGATCCAAAAGACAATAGCCAAGTTGCCAGGGAATGAAACATATCCACCGCTCTCTATAATCACGACACGTGAACGGAGTGGTGTGATTGTATGGGGGAATACTATATCAATGGTTATCATCCTTCTGATAACGACTCCGTGACGAGGAATTGAATTCCTTCGATAGGTCTTTGAAGAGTTATATACTATAAAGAATTTCGAAAGGGAAACTTCTGACCCTCGAAACAATTATTTCCCGTGGAAAGATACGATCGGTTCTTTGCTCGGAGATAGGTAGAAAGTATTCGATGACTGGGAAGAAAAGGGCGGAGAAGATTGAACGGTACCACTCGAACCAATCAAAGGGGCCTTTTGAACGCGAACGGGCCACGACTATTTTCTATCTCTCTTTCGTACCGCGGGACCAAAATACACCCGATGGTACTCGTTTCAGAGCAGACGTCTCTTGAATAAGCAGCTAGGCTGCTCCGGAAAGTCCCTTCGAGAAAAAGACATGCACAGAACGAGAAGCGTTCCTCTCCTCTACCACTTCCGGGCTGTTCCTGATGCATACGTCACCTTTCTTTGTAAATTGTACAGGAAAAATGAAACACTTGGCCTGTCTGATCTTTTCCGGTGTACGAAATGTCCCAAGGATGATAATGGCTCGAAACTTTATCAATACCCTAAAACATGGTGTGTTGGGAGGTTACAATAAGAGTAATAATATTCATGATGCCGAGATTTTTGGATGAATCTTGCATATTTGCTTGTATCATCGGTTAATCGAATAAATCATATTCAGTGACTTCAAGTGGCGAATGTATCCAGAAGTGTTCATATTAAATTCTAATTACAATGATACTTTTTTCCAACATGTAAAAGAGACGATATTACTAGTGGTAGTAACCTAGTAACATGTAATTCACTATTTATTGATGAAATCAATATTCGTATCTAGAGAAATGAAGAACTGCTTCATTTATAATCGTAATAATTGTTGAACATTTTGTACCATTTTTACTCGATAAAGGTCGGGAAGACATCTTTGTTTTCAAAATACATCAACGCCCATGTGTATTTTCCCATCCACATGATTCACTTCACTAAAAAATGTGCGAAATTTTTCAGTTTCCTCCACAACAAGGTACATAAAGCAAGCAAAATTCATATCATAATCATCTATTGAAATGTAAAAATTAAAACAGTAAATCTTTCTTCTATAATCGAGATAACCATTTATTTGTGGTTTTATGTTGCCTCATAATTTAAAAATATAATAGGTTTCTTACCGTTACACCTGACATTATTATAAAAATAATTAGGTTGGTCATATTTTTCAAACATGATAAGCGCTCAAAGTTGCTGACATCTGATTGTAGCGATCCTTCGATCTTAGCGAGGGCTCGACCTTTTTTTACCAAAAGTCTGGAAGGTTCCATAGGACAGGCTAACGCAATTTCCCAGAACAAAAACAGAACGGTCCCCGGTTTAGTCGTTCCCAAGACTCCGACTGGGTCGCGTGAACCCAGACCTCGCAGCTTTTCCTCGAACCGTGTATCCTTCGTTTTTCAGCCGGCGTCCAAACAACGAGTCTCTTGATAGCCCAAAACAAAGCTCTGTACCCGACCGTAAAAAGCTTCGTGTTAAAATATTGCGCTCGGCCGCGGATAGCTCACGTCCGGTTTTTCTGTTCGCAGGGAAACGACGAGCGCGGGCGCGGACCCGCTATAAATATCGGCTGCGCGCGCGCGCGGATAACGAGAGGCATGAACGCGAATTACGCCGCCGCGCCGTGTCGGTTCTCGTTCATCTTTTTTTCCCCCTTTCTTTTCATCCGGCATCCCAGAATTACCCGGATCAGCAGCGACGTGGGCGCTTGCATATCGCTGCGTCGCGCCGCTTCTGACCCGATGCGTATTCGCTCCGCTTCGCTTTGCGCCGCGCCGTTCGTTCGTTCGCCCTTTATAAATAGACGCTTGAAATTCTGTCGCGTCCGGCCGTGGCGGGCTTGGGGATCTACGAGGATCCTAGACGCGGAATAGATCACTCGTCGCGATCCATTCATTAGGCGGCGAGCAGCGTGTACTCTTCCACCGTGTTTTCACCGAGCTTTTAAGCGACTGCGTCTTTTTAGAAACAGCTTCCTCGGAGCGTGCTTCGTGTTCGCCCGCTGAATACGACGTCTCGGCTGGTGCGCGGTTCGGTACGATCTCTCGACGAAACAATTTGTTTCTACGCTGAATCTTAATTCGAGAGTCGAACCTCGTGGACGGTTGAGGGCAAACGGAAGCTTTTTCGATGGCGATTCGTTCGACATTTCTGCCGTGGGAACTGCGCGTAAATTCTCGCGGAAGTTTCCTCTTCTAACACCATGTTACGTAAATCAAGCGGATTCTCGAGTCGAGTAGACAGTGCAATTTGCATAGAGCGTGCACGCCACCGCTTGCACTCCTATCCTCCAGTCGGACGTGTTTTATCGTTGGATAATTTGCGCTACGTTTTTTAGAAGATATAAGATTGTGTAACACCGGCGACTCGGTCAGTTGGAGGGTTTGGAACTGGAGATAATCATGTATACCAATTGTGTTTATAGCACACGTAGTACATATAATGTGTCCAGGACATATGTAACATTTATGAAATATGTAATTCTGTTTTGTTACTAACAGATGCGCCACTATTTATTAAAGAGCAGGTATAGTGTAGCATTTGGTGGACATAGTGGTTGTCTTGTAACACGTACTCGGGTAAAATTCAAACCCACTTATCACGAAACGTTATTCTGTGACTTTGACTTACTTTTTCATCTAGAATCTTGTGCTATCAGCTACGGGACCAATGCATAATTAAAAAACGTATAATATGTAAGAGTAGAGGTGTGAGAATCCCACTGCGCAGTAACATGTTGCGAATAAATTATGTATAAATAAATAAATGGAATCTATTTTGTATGTTCCAACTGGAATTCTTCAGTTATTCAGAACACGTTTTAATGTTTGCTTTTGTGTTTGCAGATATTCGGGGCACGGCAACACGAACCGTATCTATCATGTCGGTTCCTATTTAAGGTGAGCGTCATATTCTTCGATTTTATCGCTCTTTTACAAATAGTGAGGCTTTATTTGCGCGCCGCAGCTACGATTGTGGTACGGGTACGGTCACGGTCCGGTTCAATTTTATTCAACGCTCTTTTGGAGCGGATTCTACGCTCGTTTCAATAGCACTCCCAGCGTTTCGGTGCAATGGCATCGGTTGAATTGTTTTAACCCTTTCACTACGAAAGGCATAACATACACAACGTCTATCGATTGATCAAAATTGTAAGTTGCATCATCAACTATACTTGAATAAATAATGATAAAATTTGCTGTTTTTTGTTGGAAGAAAAATCGAATTATGGAATATAATCGTATAAAAAAATAAATAACAGTATCACGTCTTTGTTACATATTAAACAAGATAAGAAATAAGTACAAAGAAAAATGTAATAAGTGCGTGGTGGGCGAAGTTCAGCAATAACTATACACGGTTATTAAATTCCACCGAAATCTTTATTGCCTACTTTGGATTCAATCGAAGTCATTATTGTCCATAAGATACAAGATCAAAACTATAAATAAAAAAGATACATTTAAATATGTGAGTAAATATCGAGGTGTAAGTCATGCGTAAAAGTCATTGTATATTTTTCGTTCAATTACGAATATGAGTAAATATTATAACTGATCGAAGGTAATTATAAGTTTTAATTTTATAAAGCCTATCAGTTCTTAGAAGCGACATTGCTTAAGGAATGATCCGATAGATGGGTACTTATTGAAAAGCATGGTCCGACATAATTATTCCTTTCTTGGCGTATCCGGCGGGACAAAAGAAGGGACCGGGATGGAATCCCGGAAAAGAAAAAAACGCAATATAACGGGTACATTATTCTCGAGGGCGGAAACAAGACAGCATCGTTGCTGGACACTCGAGCGATGAGAGAATCGGTGCCTCGTTATAGACGATTGCGCGCGGCTGTAATTGTTCGGCAGAAACGGAAGCGCGCAATTACGCGGCTAATCGACGGAAAATCGGCTCGCGCGTCGACAGGGGCTACTCGATTCCGGTTGTCGACGCGGCAATTTTCCAGCTCTTCCATCATTTCGCCGTGAAATTTTTCTGAACGATTCAACTGATTCACGGAATCATGATTTCCTCCCTATTGAACATAAATTACAGTCACAAATGGGTTTACATTGGTCTACATTGGTTTAAATTGGTCTACATGGATCTATATGGGTAAACATGGGTATACGAAAATGGCAGTTACATAATTGCAGTAAAATATTATGTATTGTATTATTAAAGATACTACGTATTAAGGGACTGCATGTTAGGTATATATTATTTAGAAGTCTGTTAATTATTGGAAGTACATGAAACTTTTGAATGGTGTTGTAAATCATAATGACAGAAAGTAAGAGTTTACCTGGTAGCTACAAAGTATGCGAGTGAAACCAGAGTCCAGGATAGAAACTAGGAAGAGTTAATCAAAATAAACGAACTTTTAATCGTCTATAACGTCGTGTGATTTTGAAGTCAATAACCTACACACCAATAGTTTCTTCAGCCTGTTACTGTATTCATGAATACATCGAATTCTAAACTATCCTTTTATAGTAACAAAACAATTGTAAGATTATTTCTTCATTTATATCTTGGGTTTAATTTTTGTCAGCTTATTTTGTTAAAAAATGTCTAAAAAAAAGTACAATCCGGTTATAGAAAGTTAAAAGACGCGGTGAAAGTCATTATTTTGTCGCATTCTTTCATGTCGATAGACGTTGTACTATAGGTCGTTGAAATCGTTTATACGTATACGCGAGTATAAGTAAGTGCAATAGCGACATTGCACCACGTATAAAAAGTACACCATGTAATATTAGTGTTTGCAAATAAAATTATTTCGTACGTCTAAAAAATATTGCGGATATTTTAGGTAGACAGTGACTGTCACGCCTTGTACAAGGTGTATATAAAACAGAGGATTGTTTATAGAAATCCGTAAAGAAATGCATCGAGATCGAAGCTGGGATATCCGTAGAGAAGAAACGGGACGCAAAAAGGGAGGAAAAGGAATCGCGAGAGTAAAAGTAAAACCGCGATTCGTAATGGTGTCGGCAAAATCCGCGTTTCACTTTTCGAATTTGACGAAACAATTGAACCCCGACAGATTGGGAACCACGCGCGCTTTCTCCTCGAACGTGGAGATGGTTCTTCAAAGCGGTGTTAATTGCGTTGCTCCGTGTTCCGTCATCCGCGTGGATGTACCTACGTATACATATACATACAAGGTGAAGAGTCTCCTCTGTGGCGACATTAACCGCGACATCTTAATGGACGGTTCGACAAGACTTATTCCGGGCGCATAAGTCGCCGTGAAAGTCATGTCAAGGTTAATAAAAAATTAATAACCAAGTGTTCCTTGCTACGACAGCCTCGAGGAGACGAACCGCTGGTTTAAAAATCCGAAGGCTTTTACGGTCTTGGCTCGGAGAGTATCGTCGTCATTGAAGCCAATTAACGGGAGAAAAATAATTATATTGATGCAAACGAATCTTTTTTACGATCGAAAATTGTGAATAACTCCCCGCGGAATCTGAATTAATATGTACTAAGATTATTTCTATCGAGAGACTTATTAATACCAAGTAACGTTTGTAGAAGTATTTAAACATAATGTTAAAGTAAAGGGACTCGAAGAAAATATGTATGTCGTAAGTTGATGTAAGGTCTGCTGCATAAAAATGAAGGTAGCAAAGATTGTTTTCTTAATTGCAAGCCATTCTCTTAATTGCTCTTCTTGATGGAAAAGAAGATACACAAGGAACGCCATTAACACGATTCTGGAATGAGTCCACCGTCGACCACAAAGTTCAACAGAGGTAGGAGATTAGAATGAACACTTTGTACAGAAAATGGTCTTTTACCACGTGGTGTGAAAAAAGAAGGAATTTTGAGGACTCAAAGGAAGGAATGTCAGACGGTCGTGAATCTTGGTGTCGGTTACGTCTTAAGTGGAGAGTCTGGTGTAAACAGCTAAAAATGAACGAATTTTTGGGAATTTCTTGTGAAGAAAGTATTAAACCAATCTCTTTGAACTTTTGAGAATACTTTATTGTACAATTAAATCGAATAAAAAAATTTTTGTATTCAGTTTAATCGTACAATGAAGTATTCTGAAAGTTTTCAAATAGATTGGTTGAATAATTCCTTTACAAGAAATTCCCAATAAATTCAGTCATTTTTAGATTTACACTCACCCCATTGCATAGTACGACTCGTACCGTACGAGTGTCAAATTTTATGACAACACTGACTGCGTATATGCCTTATAATAATTCCTTTACAAGAAATTTCCAATAAATTCAGTCATTTTTAGATTTACACGCACCCCATTGCATATACAATGTACATAGTACGACTCGTACCGTACGAGTGTCAAATTTTATGACAACACTGACTGCGTATATGCCTTGTATCGTGTAATGAAAACATTATTATTATTAGTATCATCATATTGTACGTAGTCTTGAATTGTGCATGCATCCAATTATCTTGCTATTCCACTTAATATTATTATGCGTGTGCACATTCCACGGGTCCAATTCTACCCAGGCGCCGTCGTCTGCGAAACAGCCAAGAACCACCGTGTCTCACGAGGGTTAGCAATAGTGAGGGACGGCTAATACTGAGCGGCGAAGTCATTTCCACCGGCTTATGGCAGCTATGTCAAGGTCACGGCAATCTCTGCGCTTTATCTAACGAACTTAGCTCGATTAGCGCTCGCACGCGTTCGCTGTTCGTTCGTCGGGAACGCTAGCTGAAAAGTGCCGGGTACTTTCACCCCGTTCACCGGCCGCGAGCTCGTTACAATAGCAGTAGCGAGCGTTCCTTCCTCCGCGGCATGGCATTGCGCGCGATTACGAATGCAAAGCCGGGTTCGATCCGCGAGTATTATCGTATTAATGAGTTCCTCGAACGTCGGAGGAGTTCCTCCGGGGCTCGAGATACTCGATTGCCGAGAACCGAGGAAGCTCGTTCGGTGTATAGGCGCGAGAAATGATTCCAATTACTGTCTCGGTGCATCCCTTGAATTGAACGTCTGGGTGCAGAGTCTGACGGTGTGTGATTCTTGGATGGTGATGTAATTTGGATGGTTGGGGTCCTTGATTAGAAGGCGCCTCGGAGTGTTGATCCTTTACTTGGTTGCACCGTATTGTATGATAGTAACGAAGTCTACTTGTTATGTCAGGATGTCTCGGAAAGTGTTGTCTATTAAAATATTTAGTTCATTTATTCTTGCGTATAAGAGGAAGGAATTTTAATGGTGAATATATTTCTATTTCATCTGTGGTTGTGATCAGTATTGTTTAGCGATTGATTTTACTATAGTATAAACAGGAATTACGTAATTCCTGTAATATATCATTTATTGTTACGCATTTCAGAAATTGCAAGCTCAGAATCATTACATACTTTTCAAACTTTGCAGTCAATATAGAAATGTGTATACAAGGTATCTAACAGAAGTGTACCATTTTTACACATTCTATATTAATATAGAAATAGGTTTTAATAACAGCCTATAGTTGTACCTTGCCCATAAACGTTCATTTCTCTGCATATATTCGTACGTTCCTTTTTAACGTATCTGTAATAATGAAAATAGTATTGAAAATTTTATCTAATACTTTTCCCTCTTCATACATTCCCAACTGCATCTTAATCTTTACCAATATCATCCGAAACGCAACCTAATCCATACGAAGCCTCCGTTGTGAACAAAACCGATCACAAATTCTACGGACACCAACGACGCATGGATCTCGAAAGCTAAAGGTTAACGTAGAAAAGCAAAGGTGTAACCGAGCCCTTTTCCCGGGTCACGGAAACGCATATCCACTTGAAGCAGATAGGTAGGAAGCAGAGAAAGGCGACGAGGGTCCATCGCGAGGGGTACTGGAAAGGTTCCGGGGGTGGAGCGGGGGAGGCGTAACACGACCCGTCGACGATACTTTAACGAGAACCGGCAGCGTTAATTTCACCGTCCCCATCCAGCCTTGCCCGTCCCGATACTCCCGACCCGTCTAGTTGTCCCGCGGCGCTGCACACGCGGACTCCCGACCGACGCCGTGGTCGTCAGCTGTGCGAAGGTCAGGGTCGTCCGAGGGTGCAATCGATGCACGATACCGCCTCTCTCCTGCTACCTCTCGCTCGCTGCAGTTACCATGGCGACCATCTCCTGACCCATTGCTACGCCGAGGGAGCCTGTCGACCCGGAGAGAGGCTGCATCGGGTCTCGGTCTCTCGTCGAGAGCGTGCCGCAGACAAGGAACCCGGAGGTATACACAGAGCCACACATAAAGACACACACACGTACACGCGCACGCAAATACGTCGGCATCGTACGTCCGCTTCCGTGACCCATCCTTCTGCTTCTCCATCACCGGGAACATCGTGGAGCCTCTCTTCCCTTCTAACAGAGTTTCACGTGTGTGTTTTATTTCGTTACGTCAGGGGTATACTCCTCTTTTTTTTTTTTTAACGTTCCGTGGAGTTGTAACGCGAGAGAGTGACCTTGATCCGCGAGAAGTCCATCCATTTGCCTCCTCATTTTTGGAAACATCGAGGAAGCCGTATTTGCCTGTATCGGAGTGTGGCGGGTGTTTTATTTGAATACGTCAGGGGAGTACGCATCTTTTTGGATCTTCTGAGGATATACGACGCCTGATCTTGCCCTTCAGGAAGTCCATTCCTGCGCTCTTTTACATCCAGGAACATCGAGGAGATTGCTTGCTCATGTAACAGGGTTTTACGTGCATGTATTTTACCTGGATACGTCACGGGATTACTCTTCTTTTGTTTTTTTTTTGGATCGTCGATGGAAGTGTGACGCGAGAGACTGACCTTGTCCTACGAAGAATTCAACCCTTTACTTTTCGGACGTCGAAAATAACGAAGAAGCTCTTTTTTCTTATAACAAAATTTTACTCGTACTGTTAGTTACACGTTTTTTTGGTATTCCAAGCGGAGAAGTGACGTGACAGAAGAGTGGTCTTGTCCTGCGTAAAGTCCGAACGGAACAGAGTGCGAAGAAAGTGATGGAAGAGAGAACGTAAAGAAGTTCCGTAACCAACCGTCGAAGTGTTACACAACGATCCTGTGGTCGTAAAGAATCAACGAATCAATTCGTGTTTACGCGTACGCCGGGCGTTCTTTCGACGCATCGAACCCCATCTAACGAAATCAACCCCTTTATCCGTTTAGAATATAAGTATAGAAAGAAACACGATCGAAACGAGTCGCGAATTCGTTTGTTAAAGCAGGCAGATGGTAGAAAGCTACCGTGCAAGGTCGGTATGAACGGCGACTAAGGTCAGCTGGCGCGGATCGATATCTTCGAATTGTCTCGACATAGTTACTCTCGCGCGCGCGCGCGTGTGTGTATCGGTGGCCGATTCGCGGAGCTCGTGTCGGCACGGCGGGAAAATCGGCGCGTACGAAAGAACAAAAGAAACGACCCCAGTGGGGTTTTTGGTAGCGAGACAAACACGGTTAACGATGGATGGCTGGAAGAGCTGGAAAACGGCCGAGAATTCGTTTATCGCGGCATGGTACCAACGGGTCAGAGAGTCTTATGTCGGGGCTTGGTTCTTCGGGGTGTTTCAGACTAGCAGGATGTCGACGAGCACCGCCACCGGAGGCGGTGGAGGAGGAGGAGGAGGGGTCGGAGGTGCGCTGACGCTGATGGGCTGCGTCAGGGAGGCTTCGCCCCCGCCACAGAATCATCATCATCACCATCACCACCAGCAACATCGAACCCTCGGCCTCGGCGAGTTCTCCGCGCAGAACAGCGTCGATCCGATTCCAAAAGGTATGTGCTTGCTTCATCGATTATTTATGAAGCTCCATGTACGATCTTGTTTGTGAGTATTGGAACACCTGCTACACGTGACGGCAATGCGATGTTTTGGAGAATTTATACAGGTTGTGGATGCAATGATGGTATAATCTGGTATGGAGTGACTCCTCGTGAAATATGAGTCGAAAATAAAGACTGGAGCTTTTATATTTAAAGTTTCATTCTTGAGAAAATCATTGGGACCGTACCCAGTATATTTTTCATAGTTTTTTGTTAACTTAAATTGTATGTTAACATAGGTGCCTCGTTGTTTTCTCTAAATATTACACATTTAAAACTGTTTGTTTGAAAGTTTCATTCACGTTCAATGAGTGTTCTAATACCCATAAACGGGATTGTATATAAAAAAAGGAAAGACAGTCACTCAGGATGCACGATCGTTTCCGTGGCACTTTAATATTAACACATATGAACATAAAATACGATGACATATTGTAAAAAGTTATTGGACTTTTTGTAATTACATTTTAAGTACAGCGACAGTCAATGAATCGTGATGTTAGTAGGACTTATGGTCTAGTGCAGAACAGTAAGATTGATCGATCAGACGTGAATTGACTTACTCAAGCGACAGTAAAGAGCACGTTTTGTATTCATGTATAAATAAAATTCTCGCACGTCGACCAACACTAAAGAGCCGCACGATTCAGTCAGATACATTCTATTTAATTAAGAAGATTTATTGTATCGAAAGAAACTACTATTTTGAACAGTTTTGTACAGTTTAGATCGTGTTAGGCTTAAAAACAAAAAGTGAACGACATTAACAACCATGTCGAAATCGTGTTGAGTAAACGTATCTGTTCGAGTCGCCAGTTAAATTGTATCAGAAACACGTCTTCGACTAATTGAAACCGAATAGCCGAACCTTGAGACGTCTCGAATTGGTTTGAGCAACGCGTTCACTATCTTGGATCACGACGAAGGTCGGTGTTCATATCGCGGTAACAACTTTCGAGGTTTCAAAGCGAAATGGAACCTACGTTTAATCAGGAAAGTGACAAGCTTTCGAGCCGCGCACTATTTATCCTCGTAACCGGTTAATCGCGATTATCGGTAATAGTTAATGGCGATACGCCATTAATGCTTACTCAGTTAACTGTAAACACGGTACCGGGGATCGTTTGAACGCCGTGCAAGAACACGAAACCCAAGACGGCGACGCGGCGTGGCGAATTTTATTTTCAAATTGATCCATGCAGAATTTCAATCAACATCAAAGCGTATCGCGACGAATGCTCTGCATGTCGCGAGAATATTAAGAAAAACGGCATGCCCACGGCGATGGTCTAGACGTGTGTGACGTTGGAAAATGACGTTTCGCGAGCGGAGATCGCTTTTTCAAGGTCTCAGTCGCGGATTACAACGTCCCGGGCAAACGAGCCGTGCCATGGAAAACGGATTTACGTAAATGCCGCTACGGATCGTTCGCGTACAGCCTATCGATTTCTCAATTCCCAAGGAATTTCAGGCAGGGTATTACGTCGAAACGGTACGTTTACATCCCATTGCTACCGTGCTTTTAATCTTCTACATAGGGTGGCCAACAAAACTACCACGATAACATTTTTCGATCGCACCACGAATTTTGTCGCATCCTACATATCTCGGATTTACCACAAGAGTCGCGTGTCGACAAGAAAGCTAATTATTGTTCAGGTACCATTATCCGTCGCGTGCAAGACCGTCTAGAAAAGAAGCGAAATGCTGACGGTACGGTCCTCGAATCAAGGCGAAAGTTTCTGGTGCGATTCGCAAATTCTGGTTTCGTTCGGGTTGTGCAACGGAAACAGGCCTAATGGACGCGGTTTCAGCGAGTTATTAAAGGGTAATCCGGCGGAGTGCCCTTTATCCGTTGTCGTCGTAGGAACGTGACTTCGTTGTCGTTACTCGCGGGACGCCGCGCCGCGTTCCCGAGAGGGTGCAACGACCTCTTTACTTTCATTAACCGTCGGTAGATTACGAGGCTCCGGGCTAGATTAGCTCGTAAGTTAATATCTGAATCGGTCAGATGATGAGCAATTAACTTGAACTGGCTTTTCGAGACGCTGCGGGCTCGCGATGAAAATGGCCCACTTCCTCCGCTCCGTGGGCCTCGGGCGCTCACTACCTGGAATTTAATCGAGAATTTCGCGATCTGTCCGTGACCGCTCCGAACGACAATTCTTCGAGCCGGATGTTCTTGTGATACGAATCTAAGGTTACCTTGTTTTTTGTCATTGGATCGAGATCGATTCGTGACAATTATCGAGACCACGTGGATTCGACGATTCTGTACCGTCGGTAGAAGAGATATACAACGGTCGTACAATTGTCTAAGAACGAGTTATTCATATTTGAAATGCTGCTGTGAGTCATAATAACGGTCTTAGTTTTATTTCAGTTCGATATTCCTTTTTGTTTCTATTTAATGTTGGTGGTTATTTAATCGTAGAAAGATGTTATCGCGTCATGAATGTTAATTAAATCCAGCATGCCGAAACACTGGGCAATGTTCAAAGCTAATACAGAATGATTGAGAACGAGTGTAAAAGAACTTCTGTAGATTGTAGGAGAAATCATTCTCTGCAAAAATGTCATATGAACATGGGTCTTGTTCTCAGCAATTAAGTGGTTACAACAGCCTTATACTTCGTTTGAATTATGCATAGCATAGCATTGTGCATACGATTCATGGTATCGTCGGTGCATTGCCTGCATTCAAGTTCAAGGAATGCAACCTGGGCATTTATTGTAAAACAGAAACTGCAAAGAAAATGATACTTCATATACTTTCCATCTGTTTTATAACTATATTTCTTCTTCGTAAATAATTTTATCTCCCACTCTGTACAGTGAATACAAATAGTATTAACTCAATCGCCTTTTTTTTTAGCAATAATTCTCTATGTTCCCATATTGTATTACACAAATTTTCAGCATATCAACTGTAGTCATCTTTCAAAGAACTTATATTTTACTAATCTATACCTTCTATTCGGTTTATATGTTATACGATTAACATAATATACTTGGATGTACAAATACGTTCTTTCATCCACTGTTTCCCCAGAATGGCCTAAATATCTTTTGCAAGTAGAAATGATGAGGAACACTATCGAGGCATTACAGAACAGTTTATTTATCAATACATTTTCAGCCCAGTTCCACTGGCTGGGCTGTCGAAAGCTGCGTTCAGGCAATATAGGACACGGCGAATGCGCAGAAATGTACCAAGGCCGTGCTTTCAGATTCGAACAGGTTTTGCGCCCGATTCATCGGCGATAGAGCGCGATCACTATAAAGCCATCATCGAACGCCATTGAACTGGGACGTCGTTGATCGCGCGACGTAACCGCCGCGTGCCTCCGGATTATCCGGTGGACGAGCCGAATGTAATTAGGCAACGCATGATTACATAAAAATGTTAACGACACCGGAATCCCCCCTCAATCTCCGGAACGTGGTAATAGACGATTTCGTTACCTTCGGATGGCCTGGCTCGAACGATTCGCGCGTGACGTTATTTTTCACGCTTCAGCGATGTCGCCGGTCGCCGATGCGTGAAAAGCACACTCGCGGAGAGTGTCAAGTACACGTGAAAGAACCGACTGTTCGATATCAAACACCGTTAATCGAGTCTCGCGCCACAAACAAACCGATAGAAGGCGATCAAACACCGAAACTTTTTCTTTGACGTCGCAACACATCGTTATTCCTCAATCTTTCCATTCATCGATCAATGATTTTGGGCCGATTTCGTCAGAGAACCTTGAGCTGAAAGTCGCATGAATGTTTCGATTCATCGTACGATCAGTTCTACTTATTCTGTTACGATTCGTTGAACTGTTACGGCACTTCCTGTACTCGGCATCAGATGGCTTCCGAGACGACACCTCCTCGCAGGTATTAAATCCCCTACCGATACCTACCTGTAAACAGTTGTCCCGTAACCGATGGTGCAAGCGGAAAGGTGGTGATTCTCAGTGGCTAAATACGTTGAATATGCAGTGAAAATTGTTTCGAAGCTCGTTTTGTATTCGAGATGATTGAATTAGGTGTGTAATTCGTGTAGTAAAGTCTTCGTTCCAGCGTTGTAAGTAATACATCGGAAAATCGTTTGGCATTCAACATGTTAAATATAATAAAAAGTGCTGAATACATTCGTATGTTCATCAGCAAGGAATTTATTCAGCGTCCAAGGGAACGCTTTTAATTTTGTCTTACTGTCCAGCGTACGACATTCGTGGTGCGACAGATCGTCCCAACCGGCGTTTGTGATTCTATCGATTCGTCATAATCTTTATTGTGTAACCATATGTATGGTATCTTAATGTATAAACGTGGATTTTCCACGTCAGATTGATTTTTCAAATGTGCTATATTTTCTTAAAAATCTGAAAAAAGAATTCATATAGTATCTTCAAGCATTCTCAATTCAGACACCAACCCAAGAACTTTTTTTTTTAAGCAGGGTACGGTGGGCAAAGGTTCGCTACCTGCTAGTCTTCGAGAAATCCTCGAACCAGCTCCGGCCCGAAAAACTCACGCTTACACATTAAGGGTTAAGATAGACCGTAAACGTCTAAGGCAATAAAAATTGAAGAATTCCGAGAAGGTCACTTACGCCGCGTTTATTTTTGTCAAATAAGGGTATCCCTGTTCGGCTCCCGACAATCGAGTCGAATTTCGGCGAGGAAAGGTGGTACCCACGCGCCGTTGAGCAAGAACACACAGCTATTAACAGAAACTGCGAAACTAGGCCATGGCCAATCGTGGAATGAATGGCCAGTCGAATGCGCGTGTTGTAGTTACGCCGCAGCGAGAACTTACGAGGAATCGTAGGATTTTCAATTGCCGCGTTTCTCGTGGGCCGGGCCGTACCGAGCCGCCCGCTCCCCGATAACCACGACGCGACGGGACAAATGAAAACGCGCCGTGAAAGCGTGAAAAAAGGACAACACGGAATTGAA